ACTATATGGTTAGACAGCAGATTTCTAAGGTTTTCAGGCCCAAGCACAATGACTTCCGTTTTGTCAGAGTTTAGAAGTAAGAAGTTGCAGGTCATCCAGGCCTTTATGTCTTTAAGACATGCTTGAAGTTTGACCAGCTGACCTGATTCATTTGGCTTCATAGATAAATATAACTGAGTATCATCTGTATAGCAATGGAAATGTATGCTGTGCTTCCTGATAATATTGCCTAAAGGGAGCATGGATAAAGTGAAGATGAATATGACAAGAAGTGTTTTGGATTTATAACTTAGAAATGTTAACACTTCAAGGCCTAAATAAAGATTTTCCTCTACACATGATGTTAAACTGTTCACCCTGTTGCATAAGTGAAATTCTTCTGGAATTTTTGTTTCTTGAAAAAATGTTGTGGCGTTTCTCGTGGCAGACTCTTCTTTTTGGATTTGTTTTACTATTTAATAGTAATATACATGTGTGTTAAATATATTGATTTGTTTTTTTTTATAGTACTTTTAGTTTGACATATTTTTCCTGATGAGACTGCAGCTGCCACATGGCAGGTTCTTAGCTGAGTAGAACTTTGCAGCCTTGACGTACTTATTCATGCTTTTGGGAAAAAAGGTCAGATAAACAGATGAACACAAGATGGAAAATTACATGTGCAACTTTTATTTGTTATGAATGTTTTCATGGTTGCACATCTCCTTCTGATGAAAAGTTATCACAAGCTTTCAAATAAATAAATAGCTCAACATTTTCTCAGGATAGTTTCATAAATTAATGAGTGGACTTTCAACCAAGATCCAAAGTAACAATAAACTGGCACTCATTTAAACATTGGCAAATAAACTTAGTAATAAATACAAAAATATTTCTATCAGCACTGGTCAATTAAATTAAACTAAATAGCTGCATTCAAAATACATTGGAAGAAACTAAAGATTCAACATAAAGTAATAATTTAACAGAATTCTATTCAAGTTGTCTTTCAAACATGTAATTGGTGTCAGTGTCGAGGCCACAGTCATTAACTTCTTGACAAAGTTTGGTTCTGGTTGTCATCAGCTGAAGGTGGAGGTGATCCAGACCTACTTGTTGTCCACGTCTGAAAGGCTTTCACTAGCAGGCCTCTCAGATGTGGTGGAGGAGACGAGGGAGGGGGAGGCAGTGCTCGTGATGATGGAGAGGAGGGAGATGCGAGACGGGGAGACTGCAGACAAGCGGGTGGACTGACGTTTTGTTTTCCTGTAAGAAACACAATAATAGGCAACAAGATGAGACAAAAGTTCACAGAGGAAGGTCTGAATTAATGAAGACCGAGTCAGCGGGTCCAGTAATATGAAACTCACTCGAACGCAGCAATCTTTGGACCAACCCAGGGAGCCCTCAGGTGACTGCAGAACAGACCTCTTTCTGTCTCAAAGCTGCAGGAATGACAAGGAAATGCAACATTACTATTTTGCAGTTATTTACTTAAAACACAAGCTTAGTGTACTACTCATAAGCAGTAATTAAATTATATAAGAGTTTTGTAGCTTGATTCAAAATTAGCCACTGTTTGGAAACTTCTGGGGCTGAAACAGGTCTTTGTTCCGATTGTATCACCTGTAATTAATCCTAATATGTTTGACAGTATAAAGGTCAGTTTACATCATATGCAACAATACACTGTACAGCTGAACAGCAAAGTTAGTTAAAATGACCAAACATTAAAAAAGGAACATTTTAATCTTGATCACATCTCCAGACTGTAATCACTGGTTTAGAGGTGCTAAATTATGAATCTCGCTCTATTTTCCAACATACAGCACTGCTTCTTACTTACATGACGGCTCTGACACATGGGGGGCTAGATTTATGGACCCAGTATCTTAGGATTGGCTCTGATATCTCCTGTTTGCCGACCGTCGTGCAGCAGGGAGCCATCTTCTCATCTACAGCCGGATGGAAGAACATAAGGAGTTTTAATTTGCTATTTTCAAGCAGGTTGGAGTGGGTGGAGAAAGGTGTCAGGAGTGTTGTGTGATAGAAAAGTGGCAGCAAGAATCAAAGAAAGGTGTACAAGACAGTAGTGAGACCAGCTATGCTGT